TGAGATACTTTTAGCTAAGTCTACTGCGCCGCAAACTTTTCCGTCCTGCCCTCCATTGTTTTCCCAGCCACCGTCTGCCTACCACCAAACTTGTTCCCTGCCGTTACCTCCCGCCGGACCGCGCTCTCCTCCCCCTATGCCTGATTCTCTCAGCAGCTCTAATCCCTCTCCATTGCAGATACCTCCCACTGTACGATCGTCTCCCTCTCCGCCTTCCAGGACCCATAACTCTCCCAGCAGCTCTAATCCCTCTGTGTCGCAGTTATCTCCCGATGTTCAATCCTCTCCCCCTCAGTCTCCAGGGACCCATATCTCTCCCAGCAGCTTTAATCCCTCTGTTAGCGCTTCCTCACAGTCTCCGACTTCCTCTCCTGAGAATTCTGTATCCCCTACAGCATTCTCACCGCCTGCCCACCATACTAGGTCTCGGTCGCTATGTCCTTCCAGCAGGTCGTGTGATTGTTTCAGCTTGCGCGGGGAACAGTCGCCATGTTGCAACCCTCTGCCACGTGGCATGGCGCCGCCATGTTCCCGAGGGCCACATGGCGACAGGGCGCCGCCATGTTTTGGGCCACGTGACAGGGCGCCGCCATGTTCCCAGGCGCCGCCATGTTTTGGGTCACGTGACAGGGCGCCGCCATGTTTCCAGGACCCTTACTGTCAACAGGCGTCTCCTTGTGGCTCCTCTTGTGAACTACAACAGCCGCCCTGTTGCAGTGCACATGACGCTTCATTGTGCTGCCGACAGCAGTCCTCTAGCTGCAAGGCACACAGTGAGATGCCATCTGCTCGTGTTTCCCAGGGTGACCGGCAGCAGCTCTGTAGCCGCTCTACAGATGATTGCTCACATGCGCCTACCAGAAGGATGGCTGCTCAATGGCCCTCTGCTCCGGAATCTCCTCAGGCTCTGCTACCGCTTCGGGAGCCAGCTGGCCCCAAGGAGCTTGTTAACATCCATGTGCCTTTTTCCCTTTCTGATCTATCTCAGATTACCCTTAAATTAGGTAGCCTCTCTGTTGACCCACAGAATTATATCAGGCAATTTAAATTTATTACTAATTGTTATGATTTACATTTTAAGGACGTTTATAATGACTCTGGGCCTATAGCTGTGCCAGAGCAGGACAAGCATACTAACTATAACAAACTTTTAAAACAGGTCCAGGAGGCTAATCAAAACCCAGCTGTGTTCCTAAATTGGCTTTCTAATCCTCGAGCCCTGTGAGCAGTTCCAGCTTTGCGCGCTGTGTCGGGCCGCCTCCCAGCCCCTCCCCCATGCGCCGTCCCAGCCCCTCCCTCCCCCATGCGCCGTCATCGCCGCCGCTGTCACCTTACACGTTTCCGGGGGCAGTCCGAGCCCGCCCCTGCGCGCTACATCCCAGCGCTTGCCCCACCTACTGGGCGTGCTCTGCCGGAGCGCCGCAAAACAGCAGCTCAGCGGCTCTGCTCAGGCATGCTTTTTTTTTACAATTTGGCTCCACTCAAAAGATGCTTTTTTATTACAATTCTCAAACCATTTAATCAAAGTCACTGGCCACCTGATAATTTTACCAGCCTTGTTTATCAATCAAAGCTTTCACCAACCTCCTGTTTAACAACTAAGGTCATAAATTCCTTTTGCTGGAAACCACTAGCTCTATTTCAAGACAAGGGTTTTCTTCAAAGTTTTATTTTATTTGTCTTGGTTCATACTACTGCAGATAACAACTTTAAAAGTAAATGTGTTCAGAATTTGACAGTATTAGATCAGTTTTGATTTATTCATAAGATTGCTAAACCTTTACTGCAAAACGTTTCCATTAAAGCCTTGTTTGGCAGACTAAAGCTTTGTTAATTCTACGTGTCACCCTATAAAAAAAAGTGATATTCCTGCATATTTACTTAATTCTACTATAGTCCAAATCCCAAACAAAAAGGCAAAACTTGACCTTCAAACCTTATAGAGATCTTAATATGGTTTTTATATTTTTAACACTTGTGACACTTGGAGTTCTGAGACAGGTAAACGTACACAAGGTGGAGCTGCCTGGCCTCCCCATGGACCACGCTCAAATGCAGCAGAAGACATTGGGCACCAAAATGCCCCTTCCTGGCATTCTTTGAGACCTTACTCCAGGGCTACTGGACTGTCCTAGCCACCAGAGAGTGGGTAAGTCATCCTAAGTAATAGCCCTCACAGGAAATGTCGACACTGCCAGATTCATCACCGACAGAAAATCGCTGCTGGAGGCTGAGGGGGTTCAGGGCAACAACAGCCCCCTTTAAGGTGTCCGTCTCAGATTCCAAGTTGCACTAAAGTCTCAGGTAAGACATTCTCTATATTTGTGGACATAGAGGCCATATATACAGAGTTCTTCCTGAGTATTCAGGCTGCTATATTAAGTCCTCAATCTCTATGATGGGGTATTGATGGTCAACCTATGCCATTTACAAACAGGGCCTATTTTGTGCAGGTCCCAGTCTTCTCACTTGGTTTATACTTTTTCAGGATACATAAAAGCCTTTCTCATACTTGCTAAAGTTCTGTTACAGCAAATCATTCCAAGGACTACAACCAGGTTACAGTGACCCATGCCTAAATCAAAGTTGCTAGACTGCCATCCTGGTTTCACATCACTCAGGCTAAGAGATGCCCTCCCAGCCCTAAATCTGATCATTCTGAGTGGTCATCTCATCTTCTGTCGCCTACCCGTCTCCGTCTCACAAAGGCCTAGCAGCCACAGTTAACAGGCTAAGTCATGTTTTGTTATCAACTTTGGTTCCTAATTTCTTACATTCTATTAATGATCATTTTTACAGCAGGACTCTTTAACAGTATTGCCTACAGACTCCAACATCATGCATACCAGAGACAAGCCTCACCAACCTACCGTCTTAACTTTTATGCTTTCAGATGGGGGAGTAATCACCTCTCATAACTCCACTCCTCCTAACCCCACGTTTAATTTTCAGAATTCTGCCTTACTGTGGAAATGTTTCTACCTCAACATGGTCCTGATAGAATGATATGTCTAAATCAAAGGCACCTTTCCTTCTACCTCACCTGGGTCCTTAAATATGACAGTGCCATGTCTCCTCATAACATTTTGTCTCTTTGTTTTTCCAGTCTGACATACGTGCATTCACCAGTGAAGTTGTCCTGGCTAAAACACCTGGCAGCAGCATCTACCTGGGCATCAACCTTCATCCCGTCGACTCCCCTAGGCTCCAGTACAGCGCCCTTTGCCAGCAGGAAGTAGTTAAAGAGAGAAATCTTCGCCCCATTTCATAATAATAACCATAAGACGGGATATGAAAGGTTTGGCCCAGACAGGACACTGTAGCCAGGAAAGCCACAACCGGAAGCAGGAAGCCCCATCTTGCCCTGCCCCTAGGAAGTTACCTGTGACGCCATCTTCCCACCCCTGGGAATTTACATATGGCGCCAAACCTAGGACCAATGGGCTACCTGTGTATCCCTAATGCCTGCCTTAGGTTCCACCCCAAACCGAGGCTATTTACAGGCCCCCACGCCGCGTGTCCGCCGGAGAGATCGCCGGACGCCAGCGGTGGGGTGCCAGTCATCTCTCTCCGTGTTCTCAGAATAAAGGCCGCTTTTTATTTTATATTTCTCATCTTTTGTTAATATTTTTCATCTTTTGGAAATAACTATCACACATCTAATGGATGAACTAAAAATATAACTATGCAAAGTTGAGAGGGAAATGCGTATGAGCCAGCTGAAATCATTACCCATCATAGCAGGAAGGCAATAAAGACCATCCCTGATAAGTCCGGATAGAGCCATGGAACATTTTACACAGTCATGTGGGGACAACCACAGAGCCTGAAAACACAAAGGGCTTTAAGTGGTATCTCTGAATTCAGGGGTGAAGGAGATTGTGCTTTTCCTCACAAGCCCTTCTGACCTTTTTTTTAAAAATGGTGCCCGTTACAATTTTAAATTATTGTATTAAAAGTACAAGCTCCAAAAGAAAAAAAGTAAAGGCTTTGGGGGCAACTGGGTGGATTCAAATCCCACCTCTGTCATTATGGATCCTGGACAAATTTACTTACTGCATTTTATCTTTTGGAAAAAAGGGGTTAAAAACCATACATCACAGGGTAGGCCTGACGATAAAAATGAGGTAATGTCTATAAAGCACACTGGGCAGTGTTGGCCGAAATTCAGCATTTATAATTATTAGCCATTATGATTAGTAATATAAACCAGGCGTGGCGCTACGACCCAGGGCTTGGCACATAGTAGGCACTTAACAGTGGGTGTCAGTAATTATTCAGAACCCCCAACCCATGACGCAGGAGCCATGGCGCAGGGAGTGAGCGCTTAAATATTGATGTGGTTACTCATTTATTCATCACCCGGCCGCGCCGCAGTGTCCGCGGGGCCCTGGAGCGCTGCAGCCTGGTCTCTGCCCCGGCCCAGAGGTTGGAGGGGGCAGCTCGGCCGCTTCAGGTCGCGCTGCGGGGCCGTCGCGAGCGGAGCCGAGTCGCTCGTTTTAGTGGGGCATTTTCCCCGCAGGGGCGGGCTGGAGGAGGGCACGGGAGGTCTCGACGTGTGCATTGGGGAAAAGCCGGGGCTCCTTCCGCCCCCAAAAGTCCGCGCCAAGGGACAGCAGTCCCGGGGAGGGCGGGCCGAGGCCATTCGGGGCCGTGCGCTTGGCTTCCCGGGGAAAGATCTGGGATTGGCCGCCAGGCGCAGAGCGGGTATTTCAGACTGGGAGGAGGGCGGGCCCAGCGCGCGCCCCAGGGGGAGTGGGGTCGCGCCGGTTGTCCAGGGGCGGGGCCTGGGTGGGCCACGCCCATCTCTCTGCAGAGGCCGCGCGCCCCGCCCCTCTCGTTGCCCCGCCTCCCCCGCGTCCGCGGGTCTGCGGCTGCCAGGGCGGGCGCGGCTGCCAGGGCGGGCGCGGCGCCCCGCAGCGCTGCCGCACAGCCACGCGGGTGGGTCAGGGCCGCGGGGGGCGGGACCGTGGAGGGCGGGGCGATGACGTCGCGGCGCGGCCAGGGAGGCAGGGAGGCGGTGGCTGGCTCGGCCTAACCCATCCCGCAGCGGCGGGGCCGGGTGTGCGGGCGGCGGCGCTGGTAGCCGGCTCCTGAGCGCCGTCCGCCGCTGCCGAGTTTGTCACCCGGGGCCGTTCCTCCGCTGCGTACTGCCACTGCTCGTCCGCCGCTATGGCCCTGGTGAGGGACGCCGAGCCAGCCTCGGGGCCCTCCCGCTGGCTGCCCACGCACGTCCAGGTGACTGTGCTGCGAGCCCGCGGGCTGCGGGGCAAGAGCTCGGGCGTCGGCAGCACCAGCGACGCGTACACGGTGATCCAGGTGGGCCGCGAGAAGTACAGCACGTCGGTGGTGGAGAAGACGCAGGGCTGCCCCGAGTGGCGCGAGGAGTGCTCCTTCGAGCTGCCGCCCGGCGCCCTGGATGGCCTGCTGCGGGCTCAGGAGGCGGACGCGGGCCCGGCGCCCTGGGCTGCGGGCTCGGCCGCCGCCTGCCAACTGGTGCTCACCACCATGCACCGCTCGCTCATCGGCATCGACAAGTTTCTGGGCCAGGCCACCGTGGCGCTAGACGAAGTCTTCAGCGCAGGCCGAGCCCAGCACACGCAGTAAGTAAGGGGTGCGGGGTCACGGAAGCAGTTGAAGGTTTCCCGGGGTGGGGTCGGCCGGGATCAGGACCCCAACCTCAGTCTGGACCCTGAGCCCCTTGTCCAGTGCTCAGGGCCGCAAGCCGACATGCAGAAGTTGGTTCTTAACATTTTGGGGTCCTCCTGGTCTCGTAGACAGGCGCTGTGGTGGGCTTGGGCTCTGGGAGCGTCCCTGGGGAATTTGAATGGGATCCAAACGTTAGGAGTAGACTGTCATGGAAAGTTAGTAGTGGGATTCTGTGGCTCTGGGGCTGTGGGAAATCTTGAAGCCGCCAGGCTTTTCTCCCTTCCTTGAAGAGAGGGGACCTGAGGCACTGTCTGAACCCAGTCCTTGAAAGAGTGGAGAGGCTGCTTTGCTCAGCGGGGTAAGGAAGGTCAGGCGTTAACCTCCATGATGAGTGTGGAACTGTTGCCACTCCACCAAACCTGGAGGTTGTGCCACACATCTGCCTCTTGCCTGTTCTGTGATGCCTTCCTTCACCTTCTAGAGCCGCTAACCCCTTCTCCCCTTCACCCTGATCCTGTGTTCAGGGTCCTTAGTGTGAGGATGGGAGGACCTTCCTAAGTAGAAGAGTCAAACACCTGGGCCGGGCTTCTTGTGAGCTGTCTGCCCTCCCCAGGTGGTGGCACTTCAGTTCACAGCAGTAGATCATCTGCTTGTCACTTTCTCTGAGAAGAACCAGCAGGGTTGTCTTTTTTTTTTTTTTTTAATCATCATTTATTTTGGCAGCATTTAGCCATCCCTGTAAAGATCTTGGCTTCAGACTTTTGAAGCACCATTTCCTGTTTTGTGGTTGGGTGGGATCTGGAAGCCAGTCACCAGGCCTGAGCACCTGCTGTGGGTCACTCAAGTGGTTAACTTGGGAGCCACCCAGCTGGGGAAGGGAAGAGGGTGGGAGCAGAGCTGTGCCTGGTTGGGGCCCCAAGGCCTGGCTGGGGGAATAGTACACAGTGAGTAAATCTAGGAAGGTCTGCTGGAGGAGAGGGATGAGCCTTAAGCCTCGTGCAGCAGTGAATAGAGGCAGGATTTGAGTAGAAAAGGATCTGACCTTGAATGTTTTTCATAAGGAAGGGCCTTCTTGGCTGGCTGACTGGGGCTTGGGGTGGGAAGTGGGTTAGGGCAAGGGCACGTTCCAGGCAGGGCTGTGACCTGGCTCCATCTGCCCCCTCCCCTGGCCTTCTCCCCGCCTTCCCTCATGACTTGCTGTTTGGTTGCTGGGTGTGGGATCATGTGGTGTTGCTTGGCCCTTGTTTCAGGTTTTTTTTCTTCCCTTTTCTGTCCTTTCCCTCCTTCCTGGCTCCAGAAGCCCAAGGAGTGGTTGTGGTGTAGAGTGCTCTGCTCTGGGTCTCTTAGTCCGTTCTTTTTTAGAAGTGCCTGTCCCCATGTCCCTTCCCCGCTCCCCCCAGTCCTTCACCCTCCACTCAGCTCCCATGCCTCAGTGGTAGATGACGTAGATGATGTATCTGGTGTGTGTTTCAGGGACAGAAGGGGGACTGAACCGGACAGAAAAAAAACTCTAGCTTACAGGGAGGAGCTTCTTTGATTTCTTTTTTTACCCCATAGTTGTTGGCCTCCAGCTTTTCTTTCCTGAGCTGACCCAGCCTGCAGATCCAGGTGGGTCTGTTTGCAGCCAAGAGCAGTGCCTCTGGGAGAACTTGATGTATGCAATCCGTTGTGTGAATGGGAGCCTTAATTTACTTTATGGAAGTCACCTTTTCCACTGGGATTGCTCCATACCCACCTGGCTGCCTTTCTTCTGATGCATTGACCTGGGTTAATTATAGAGCCTGGAGGGGCGGCAGGGTGGTGTAGTACCTAGTAGGGTGGGCAGAGGACAAGCCCTGAAATTGGGCTGTCGCTTTGGAGCATTGAACATAGCATGTCACCCCTGCTCTGGTCCTCTACCTCATGCTCAATGGCTACTCCTGGTGGTATTTCCTGAAGCACCCTGGCATAGGCTGCTGAGAGTCCCTGATGTCTAGTCAGGACACGGCTAGGTGGAGAGACCAGATCGTACCTTCTTCAGCTTTGGATGATGATGAGAAAGAATAATGTTCATGTTTAACTCCAGAAAGCAGCTTTGGTGGCTTCTGCAAGAGCATGTGGTGGCCCTGTCACCTAGCGGACGTGTGTTCCAGAGGGAACCTGACGGGGAAGGCAGGTTCGTGGTTAAGAAACTGGAGTTGTGCAAGAACAAATCTCAGTCTTAAATATGCCACCTTATGACAAGTTCAGCAAACTCCTGGAGCCTTAGTTTTTTTATCTGTAAAATGGGGGATAATTTATACCTTCCCAGGATTGATGTTAGGAATGAAATGAGAATGTAGGTGAAGTGCATAGTGCAGGGTATGGTAGAGGGTAGGTGAACAGCAGTGATAGTGGATGAAGGTTTTGGTGGCATCGTGTGGCAATGCTAGTCTAGAAGATATCCCCTGCTGTAGCTTTTCATGAGGTGGGGGAGATAGTCAAAACTTAGAGCCTGGGAAAACTTGGAGACACGGGAGGTGACAGGAGTATGGGAGTTCTCGACCAAAGGAGCTCATCCTTCCCAACCTCTGCCATTCTCTGCTGCTAGAGGCTTGAGAGCCAGAGTTGGCTTGGGAAAGAGCTGTGGTCCTGAAACCAGGCTCCGATTTGCCTGTGGCTCTACAGCTCTCCTCCCTGGCAGCCTTGCCTGGGTCTCCTGCTGTCCTGGGGAAAGGCAGGACAGCACAGTACTGGAAGATCTGGGAACAGGGTTTTGTTCCTAGTTTGTGTCTTACTGGTAGGCAGGCTACATAACCTGTTTGCTCATTTCTGAAAAGGTCGTGGTTCATAGTTATCAAGAGTTACACAGGTTGAATAAGATGCCATCTGTGAAAGCTTTAGTATGGTTCCAGATATATAAAAGCTTTGAAAGTGGCAATTTTGAGTTTTTGTGGTGCCCTGCCTCTTGTGCTGGTCGTGGCTGAGATTTAGGTATCCTACTAGGCCCTGAAGATTCTTAGCAGGGGGTACTCTTTGACATGAGGAATTTCACTGGAAGCCTCCAAATAATAGAATTTAATGTACTCAAGGATAGTAATGAGACTCTCTTCCCCTCGACGGAACCATGCGTTGGATCTTCATGGTTCTGATGGGTTTGAAAATCCTGAGTTGCCTTTTTGGTAACTCCTTTCTTGACGTATCCCAACAGCATCCCTCCTGGGAGTCTCCAGTAGGTCCTGCCAAGACACACGAAGTCCTCTGTAGGTTTAGGTGGGTCATTTGGACCCTCTGGCTTTTATATGGTATTGATGTGGATTGTGGCCCCAGGCGAATGTCCCTGAGTTTGTGTCACACAGGAATGGGATGGAAGAAGCAGCAAAGGGTTTATAAAGGGAAGCTAGGAATCTGCCTCTTGGGTAGGGAAGCCCTGCTCTTGGCCTTCTGGGAGGGCTCGTCTATGTGTTTGGGGGAGGCAGAGAACAACCCTGTTATGCCTTCTCCTTCAACCTCCTATGGAATGAAGTGGTCCCTGCTTGTAAAGCCTGGAGTACAGAGGCCTATTGGGTCAGTGGCTAGAGGCCGGTGCCTTAGAAGGCTGAAGCTGTGACTTCCATTTGGGTTGGGACCAGGTGCCTTTTTTCATCACTAAGACCAAAACTTTTGTGACCATAGATAGACTGCTATTTGTGTTCCTCAAGAGGCACTGTCAGCCCCTGCCCAGGCTGTGCCTTTAGAGTTTTTTGTTTGTGTGTTTGTTTTTGGGGGAAAGGAAGCACAGAGAGAGGCCTGTGGCTTTGGAGGACAGGTTTGGGACAAGTATTTCTGGCTGGCTGGTCATAACATTCTGAGACCTCTTTAAAGAGTTGTTTTGGGGACTCTGGAAAGCACCTGAGGGGAAATGCAGCTCATTAGCCAAAGGATGGGAGGGTTTTTAGGGAATTCTTCCCATTCCTTAGCTTCCGGGGCACTTGCATGTAACTACGGTAGGCTGATGACAGCAGGACCCCACAGCTTTTTGTCCGTTGTGCCACGGTATGACCTTACCCTTTAGACACTTGGGTCTCTGGATTTGGCCCCTGTTCTACCCAGGACTCCAGGCCAGGCCTCTGGGGCTGCTGGGGAAGGGTGTGGCTGCCTCAGGAGCCAGTCATTAGGCCACACAGGCTTCATCTCTTGATCATGGGGTCATTTTTATTTGGGATTGCTGGAGCTGCAGTGTCTGGGGAGGGGTAGGAAGTGTGACTTTTCAGTCATCTGAGCAGCTCCTCCTTATGGAACAGTGGCTTCCTCTTTCTACATCTGCCCTTGGCCAGGAGCCCTGGGACTGTGTCAACCCCATCTCTGCCCTGCTTCCTTCTCCCTGTGGGCAGCTGGGCATGAGGTGCAGCTCAGCTGGGCTGCCATCCCAGATAAGCTTGAGGGCTGTCCTTTTTTTCTGACAGCAGCTGCCTGCCTACCCCCGTTTTTAACTTTTTCTTTTTTCTAGTACTGGGAATTGAACTCAGGACCTTGAGCTTGCCAGCCAGGCTCTGTGTGGCAGAGCTGTGTCCCCAGCCTTCCACCCGTCTTGTTATTGCTGCTACTCTGGTGCTGTGACTGATTTCTTGCTGCTAAACCTCTGGTCTGGCTTTGTCCAGATGTTTCCCTTGCCTATCCCTCCCTGAGCTGGAACAGATGATTAACACAATGTCAGGAACTGTGGTTGCTCTGTGGAAACCAGTCCTCTTTTTTCCTCTGTAGTATGCGTATCCCTTCCCTACCACCAAGTGATAAAAATGTGTCTCCAGCTGGAGTCCGCTGTGCTGCTGCAGTCCTATGGGGAAGTCTGATGACCATGCTCTTTCTGAGCTGAGCTGTGGTTGTTTCTTCCTTCAGGAAGGAGAGGGGACTTGGCAAGTCACATGGAGACCTCTGTGTGGGGCTAGGCCAGGTGTCTCGCAGCCAGCAGTAAGCAGGAGATGTGAGTGGGGAAGCCACAGGCTGGGGAGAGACT